CCTTTGCTGAGTTTCAGAAGGAAACTGGAAGGCACAAATTGCATACTGGACGCAAGATAAACATACGCAAAATCAGTTTACTTGCGCCTTCAATTATTAATTATTATCGCCACAAAGCCAAATGTGAAAGCTTCAATTAAAACTTACGCACACCAAGCCGTGCACAGAAATCAATAAAACAAAAAAAAAACAAATATACATATATAAAGATATACATATATATAAATATATATGTATGCACACGTGTATATAGCATTACAAGCGTGCATACAAAATAGGTTTCCATTTTATCGAATTGGGTTTTACAACTAAAAAGCACAGGAGTATTCGATGAGTGGTCACGAAATGCGCTTCGATTGGTGAGCGAATATTTTGGCTCTGTGTGTGTGTGTGTGTGTGAGTATAGGGGCAATGTTTTATTTTATGTTTTTTTAATGATTTATACAAGGATTAATTTATACTCACTAATGGATTTCACTTTGCGATTCGCTGCGTTCAATATTATCAATTAAGAGAAATCGGCCAACGACGCACAATGCAGTCGGCAATAACTCATGGCCAGCCGTCGCCCGATTCGTTCATATGTTTGTACGCTCCAATGTCCGTTTGTCTCTTTTCTTCTCTTCCTGTCTATCTGTGTGTCTGTCTGTATGTCTCGATGTCTGTCTGTTTGTATTTCTGTCGGTTTGTCGGTCTGTCTCCACTCGCTTGTAAGGCGCTGCTGCTTCTGCTGCTTCTGCTGCTGCTGCTGTTGCTCCTGATTCGTGTCTCTCGGCCTGTAAATGAAATACAACGAAATTAATTATGGCGCAATAAGCAACATTTTTGCTGTTTTTCAATATTGCCACATTCATGGAGCCACCCATACCACCCAATCAGCCACGCCTGGGTGTGCTCTACAATCCACACCACCAATTACTGCCCCCCACCCCTCCATGCATGCCTTTTGCTTTGCTTCTGCCTTGGCTTCTGCTGTCAGTGCTTTATTTCTCCAACTTTTTTCCCCCACATACTATATACCTATATGTGTATATATAGCACATACATACTTATATGCAATTTACATATCGGCCATATTGAAGTATAGCGTAATTTTTATTGATTTACAGATGCGAGCACTACTTTAATGAGTTTACCTCTCGATTCGTGATTTCGTAGTGCACAGAAATAGTGCATTTAAGCCGGGAATAGTACGAGTATATTGGATTAGTAGAGCAGCTTACTATGGTTAAGTAAAAGGCTTAAGGAGAAACATTTCAATGCTTGAGTTCCGTAATCCATATACTTGTACATATAATACACGAAAGTATAGTAAGTACGATAAGTAGGAATATAGCATGTGTATGTCTGTTGACATAACAATTCAAATGAAAATATATTTTATTAAAGTTTTGTTTTATTACACAAAGATGAAAATACATGAAGAAATAACGACATGTTTTTATATACCCTTTACTTAGTTACACTGAGCGAACGTTATAAAATCAAAAATGTCATTCTATTGTCTCGTTGTCCTGAAGAAAAATATGGTTTCAACGTTCCACTGCTTTTTATGAGCTTAAAAAAAAGAATGCTCATTAGAACATAGCTTGGGGTAACTAAAATCAAAATTAATATTTTAATCAGAAATTGAATGCGATTAAAATTTGATTTCCAATTTTATCAGTTTCCTATAACAATAGAAGGCCTTTTGAGTTTCCACAAACAAATATAGGCCAAGTTAAATCTGAATATATCTTAAGTATTTCTCATTTAATTCAATATTTTTTTAAAGGACCAGCAAGTTTGTATTCGGATTCTGCTGATTGTTGATTGTAAATGAGAGCTGAATGGTTGAATCAAATGGTAAAAACGTTGAACGTGGTAGATAGGTGATCTTAGTTTGAGTTTATCTGATTTGAGTTTATAGGGGACCAACGTTTTATTGGTGTGTCCACTTGTTTTAAAAGTGATTTCAACAAGCTCGACATGATTTTCACTTTTGCGGCAAATCAAATAACATGAATATCAACTAATTTACACACTTTAGCTGGAAAATCAGCTTCGACGGGGCAGGACTATCGCCGCCAAGTTGGCAGGATGGGAGGGACTGGTGGAGGGTGGGGTGCAGGAGAAACGCCTGTCAATAAAATAAATGAGCGCCATTAGCAGCTGAAATGATGAACACTTGAAAGTATGCGCAGGCAGCGCTCGAGGCAATCGCAAAGGACTAACAAATAAGGAGGAAGCACATACAGCCAAAGACTCCTGTCAGGATGGCAACAAAAATAAAAAAAAGCGAACGGGGGTGATAGACTAACTAACACTATCAAATGTCGCAAATAATGACAGAAGAAGCGACAAACAGTGGGCAAAAAATCCTAGCATCAGTAACTCTATATATCTCAGCACACAGAGAATTATTTACTTTGATTGCAACAATAACTAATGATACACAAATAAAATGAAAATTGTCTAGAGGAATGGACTATTATTAAATCATTCCCAAGCCACTAAGATGGCTGCTGGAAAAAATGGAGACGGCCGACAGGCAGCTTCTCCTTTATATAGACATTTAATTTTCAGCCTTCCTTTTATTAAAGTTTTGTACAACGTTTGAGTTTTCAGATTTCTTCCAAGTATCATCAGCTTCTTATTCTGTATTTCAATGAAGTGTTCCCATGTATACATTTTTAATTTAGAAAAAGAAAGTTGTAACCCTTTAGACACATTTGACCCATTTAATGCACTTCTTAAATAACATATTTACTTCTTCTTCTTTCGGTGGCTATTACGTTGATAACTAATATGTAAAGTATAATTTATTCTCTGTAGTTTTATAGATGTGTGTCAGTTCTATGCTAACAATCGAATATTGCAGACAAATATTTCTATTTCCTGACCCATTGTGTCATACACGTATACATGGAAGGAGGCAGCCCCAACACCCACCCAATCTCTGTGGAATTTGGACAGGAGCCGGAGCCGGTGCCGGAGCCGGTGCCGGAGCCGGTGCCTGTGGCCCTCGGTTGAAGCGACAGAAAATAACGCAAACAAGACGCGCACATTTGTGCCAAATAAAATTTGCTTGAATAATTTTATGAATGAAGGCAAAATGTGAAAAAGAACAACAACTGAGGACCCAGAAGCTGTGCGAAGCTGGCCAAGCATAGTATGGTTAGAGACGAACTAAGGAACGAAGGAAGGAAGGAAGGAAGGTAGCAAGGATGGCTAAGGAAGTAGTGCAGGTTGAACGCAGGACTGTCGTTCCCAGTTGGCATTTTGACAACGTAGCGTACGACTATTTGATGTAATTTTTAAAAGCATGTGCACCGCATACTTTCGTATGAAATACAAATTTTATTGCATCAAAGGTTAATTGCGAATGTATGTGTGCATGTGTGTGTGACTATTTACAAGTGTTGGTTACCGTAAGTGGCACACAATTATGCAACATTTTCAAGTGTACACGTACATGTATTTTTCTTGCGGTGCATTTTACACAAACCGTCAAAGCTGCAGCTGGCACTTCTCGGCTCATGTGTGTGTGAGTGTGAGTATGTGTGTGTGCGAGTAGGGGGCTGTGTTTCTGTGCCACTGTGTTTGCTGTGTACGTGTTTGTGTGTGCGTGTGTGTATGTGGAAGCGTGTAAGTGTTTAAATAAACGACAACACTTGAAATAAATTGCAACAAATCAAGTTAAATAAATTGCGCGAACGTACGAAACATCAGCGCCGCAAAATGAGAAACGCTTGGATGGAACAGCAACGAAGGAGAGAAGAAGAACGCGAAAATAGGGGAGGAGAGGACGAAGACGAAGACATTGGCGGTGCTAATGTCGTTAACGCAGTGCGTATAATATTCGCTCTACTTGTATATATCTATAGCAATCAAGGCATGTTTAGGTACGGTTTGGTCTACTCATCGTCATCTTTTTTATTTGTTTGCCAAATATTAGTCAGTCCCTTTGATTTGGCTTTGATGAATTAGCAAGCTGTATCTGTCTTCAAAACAACAGAAGCCAAAAGATTCAATAAGCTTACAAATTTTAGTTCTCACCGTAAATATATTCTCTCTTTTATCTTATTGTAGTAAGGTGCTATTTTTATAAAATATGTTTTATTACCTCTACCTCTAGTAAGAACAATTATTAACCATATTTATAGATCTGCATAGTCATATCTATTAGCCAATTGTATACCCTGTACCCAAAGGGTACAAGGGTATATTAGTTTTGTGCGAGTGTACATTGAACACACAGAAGGAGGCGTGGCAGGACCCCACAAAGTATATATATTCTTGATCAGCATGACAAGCCGAGTCGATATAGCCATGTCCGTCTGTCTGTCCGTCTGTCTGTCTGTATGAACGCAAGGATCTCAGAAAGTATAAGAGCTAGAATAACCAAACTTGGTATACAGATTCTCCTGAGCCCGAGAAAGGACGAGTTTATTCATTTTTCCAGATGCACCCCCCCCCCCCCCCCACTCCCCCCTATTAACGATTTTCTATAACTCCCGTAATTCTTGGAATTTTGAACTAATTTGGTAGACACATGCAGTTAGTGATTATATATCCGTATACCAAGTTTCATTATGATATGTTGATCAGAAAGAAAGTTATAGCCATATAACCAGGCCCAATGCACACATACATACATATGTACAAGTACACCAACACGAATAGACACGATTCTGATGTAAATGTAAATGTATGTAGGCATGTATGGAATATTTTATATTTAATTTCATTAATTAAATAAATTTAAAAAAATTTTTTTTTTGGTGGTGATCAAGGTTTTCTTTGCCACTTGTTTCTTAAATATTAAATAATAGAGTTAATTTAAAAAGATATTGTTCTATACTCCGATTTTTTTTTAGTTTTTTTTTTTTGCAAATAAAGCTAAATAAATAAAAATTTAAAAAATTACTTTTTGGGTCGACAAAAATGATTGAAACGAAGTGTGTGTGGCAAGAAAATTCAACAGAAATTTATTCTCGTAATTCTGTCCTTTTTCGAATATGGGCACCAAACAAATTATATATCCCAGATCGAGCTTGCAATCGCCTTTCGATGATGGGATGCGGAACAATAATGGGAAGCAGAAGAACATACCGAAGAAGAAATCTTTGTTCCTACACTACATTCTGTGGCTATTTGGCGGTATCTTTGGCATACATCATCTGTATTTGAATCGCGATGGCCATATCTTCTTATTGTGGTGCACATTTGGCGGATATTTGGGATTCAGGTGGCTTAGTGATATGTTCATGAGAGCCGAGTATGTGCACGATGGCAATGAAGATCCGGGTTTCGTTAGGAAATTCGTGCCTCGTCGTCCACCATTATTTTCCACGAAGCGTTTTGTGGCACAGCTGATGATTGGCTTTATGTTCGGCCAGATAGGGTCCTTTGCCATACCACAAAAGAGTGTGGCCGGAATCGATTGGACCTTTCTGCACTGGGGCGTACCGCTTTTCGTGGCATTGGGCGTCTGGACAGTGGGAAATATTGGAAAAGAATGTGGAGCAATGTGGCATTGTCTGGTGGCCGCCGCCATTACCTATCCCGTGGGCTATTTAATATACGACCAGCTGTACACACTATTAATTACGGCTACCCTCTCAACGCTGGCCTTCGACACGTTCGCCAGGCAGTGGACACCCAATCCGCAACCTCGCCGTAGTGCCTGCTTGCGCTCAGTAAAATTATCGGGCGCCTTCTGCATCTATCTTGCAGGCTGGTGTTGCTTTCTCTACTTCAATGCCACCACTTTGGATGAAAATGGTGCTGAGGTGCCCATTCGTGAGGTGCTTCAGGATTTCTTGGGCTCGCCCTGGTGGTCCGATTTTAAGGAGGCATTTCGCGATACATACAACCATGCTAAGCGTCATGGCTGGGAACTTTTAATGAAGACGATACTCGAAAGCACGACCGCAGATGCTCCTGATCTGCATGCGTACAAGGTTCTGGGAATCAGCCCAACTTCAACGAAGGCAGAGATAAGCGCCGCCTACCGAAAGCTCTCCAAAAAGTATCATCCGGATAAGCTGAAGGGTGACGAGGAACTGCATCTGGCCATGAACCAGTTCATTGAGATCCAGGAGGCTTACGAGGCACTACGAAACAGAAATAAGGACGATCAATAGACACCTTTCTCAATCAGTTGGCCACCATACTGAGTACACTCGCATTGTTTTTCGTCATTCGTTTGTTATGTTCGCATGTTAAATTTTCAAAAAACCTAAACCTACAGTGAAAACACAACACAAAATACACAATTTTTCTCAGCAAGGATACCAACTGCCTGCTGGCAACATTCGATTAAATATGTTTCAAGTCCTTTAAAGCGTTTGTATAATTTTCTGAGCCGAAATCAAGCACTTTGCGAAAACAGCTTCACTTTGGTCTTTCACTGCGTTTTCACTGCAGTCAGTTGTTGTTTGGGCCTCCGCCGTGCCTGCTGAGCGGCCAAAAGCGTGACCTAGAAAATGTCAATGGCTTCACAATCTGGAGCTGAACTGTAATAGTTTAGATATGGACATGAAGCCAGCAAAATTAGTTATGCATTGTCACTGCTTCTGTCTGTAGTGGCAGACACATAAAGCACAGACTACATCGATTTAAGTTCAAGACGGTCTCATGTGCGCGCACACACATCCACATTCACGCGCACACACTCTTGCGTTTTTATCGCATTTGTGTATTTTATTCATTTATTTACTTTTGTGGGCGTCTATCCTCCCACTATTTTTCTCTTTGGCAGCCTTATTTGCGCTTTATTTATTCTGTGGCGGCATGAAAAATGCGTCGCATGAGCAGATTTTGTGACGAAGACGACAACAACAACGACAATGGAGGGTACAGCAAAAAATTGGTTTTTGTTCGCAATGTCAACGCACAGTGGGTTGCTTCGAGTCAAAAAAAGATATTGTAGATAAACAGATTACAAAGTAATTAAAGTAAATTATATAGAATACATCTTTTCATTATCATTAATGGACATATAAGCCATTGCTCAGTAGTAGAATCTTGCCATATAGTGCTAGAAATCCAACAAAAAATATGCCGCATAAAAAAAACATTGTCCCAGAAACAACAAAGCGCTGCTGAATTCGCTAATTATACATAGTTAACGAGCTTTGTAACTCGAAAGCACCTCTTCAAGAAGTTTTTGATTCTAAATGTAAATTCCTTCAGTGCTAATTGTTTTGTTTTAAATATAAAAAATTAAATTAAGTGTGTTTAATATTATATTATAATAATATAAAATAATTAATACTATATTTTCAAAAATTATGATTTGCGTCGGATTTTTCAATTATATTTTTTAGAAATTCCAAGATCCCTGTAGAAAATGAGAAAAAACCGAGCACAAGTGGCTTTGATGTTTGTGGCTAACTATTTTCATAACACTGTCACAGTTGGAAATTCAGCCAGGACGAACCGTTTTATTTATGTAGAAAAATGTTGATATAGAACATTTCAGCTTAAATGTGTGCTAGATATTTTAAATATTTTTAATATATTCCTTTTGAGTTAAACATTACTTTAGGGATAACCATAAATTAGACAAAAGTGTAAAGGCATCTACTTATTTTATGGTATTGGAATCTTTGGTAAGTGTGATGTAATTGTGATGCTGCAAGTCAGACCAAGTGCAAAGTAGCCTTTAATAGTATAGCACGACATATCTTTGGCAAAACAAAATGTTCAATTTGATCCTAAGTCTTGGGTTAAACTTGGAACCCTTGTTTTCATGGACAGAATCATTACACGAAAAGAACCGAATTATTTGTACGAAAATATCTCATTTGAATAACTAAATAAAACTAATCTAAAAAGAATAATAGTATTTATACACACTTTATTTAATTTATCAATAATATAATAATAAAAGTAAGGTCAGTTTGGCAAATGGATACAAATATACTTAAATATTTATATGATAGAAATAGAAATAAAGAGAATTCATAGGGGAATCCACTTCTCAGTAGAGCGTACAAATTTGAACATGTTTCTACATATATGAATGCTAATTAAATATATCGAGCACATTTATTGCACACTTGGGGCTAAGAGTTTGGTATTTTTCGGTTTCACTTGAATAAAACGAATAAGGAAAATTTAAATTTGAATTGAAGCGCAACTTTGGGAATCGTACATATATAGTATACATATATACGAGGTCCCCACTGTGCGCCGCCACCGAGTAGCTTGCTTTGATTAAGTGTGCGTGCCTCAGACAGTTGGGCAAGTGTTAGACTGACTCATTGGCCATTTGATGAAATGTCGTCCGTTGCTCAATGTACTCGTACTCGCTCGTACGCTTTCCAACGCAAATGTGGCTGCTTTCTTGCCTGTTTGTTTGCTTGTACGTTTTTGTTTGTTTGCCTATTTCATTGTTTGCCTTTGCCCAGAAAGAAAAGAAGAAAGGGTTGTTAAAATGTAATTGCGAATAAAATAAAACAGCGAACGTGCACATCGCAAATATGCGGATGAGTGCGGCGACCGCCTCTGGCATAGAAATGTACACGAACGAAAAAAAATACATATTCAAAAGTGTCATAAATGTAATACAACTTTTTCCTTTATGGTTCACGCAGACATACTCTTACACACACACACACACACCCACACGCAGGCACATGTTGGGCTGTTTGTGTTGGCGTGATGCTCAAGTGCCGTTGTTAAAAGTTGTGTCGACGGCCCGGCCAATAAAAACATGTGAGGAAAAGTACAAAAAGAAGAAAAAAAAAATAAGCTGAAATAGAGTTGAACTAAAATAAGTTTAAGAAGCAGTCAAAAGATGCAGGCTCCACACATTCACATACACCCCCCTCCCTCCACCCCATACACACACACACATGGCAAACTCGAACTTGGCGCCAAAAGTTTTGCAACATCACACACACACACACATATATATATACACCACATCGAGACAGGGTGGCATAAGGCATCGTATTCGAGGGGGTGTGGTAAGTGTAATGCGTTTTAATATTTTGTTGAAGGCAATTTACTGTACAGCATAAGCTCAGGTGGGCAGGTGAGTTGCCGTATGGGCGTGGCAAAAACTTTTTCCGGCAATTCCGGCAAATGAAAACCAAAATCCCCACAAGACCAAAATATTCCGATGCACGTGCCATACTTAACAGTTTCGCTTATAGATTGAAAGATTGAGGACTGCACTCTCTATACTTGTATATGTGTGTACATACTCGATATAGAAATAGGGCTTTGCAGACATTTCCACTCAATCTGCGTTTGTGAGTTTCTTTAACACTTAATTGATGGTACACTGGCATATATGATCAAACCAAATCTGAACAGTTTAGAAACAAGACTTCGACCACAGTTAGGCCTAAAGCTAGTTAATATAATTGATTTTGGAAAAGGTTCGGAACCGCCACCATGCGGGGAAAAGTTCAACTTTACAGCAATACTATACCATACCTGCAAAACATATCAAAGCTACAAGTATTTAGTTCAAATAAATACACTATGTGATTCGGCTTTGAGCGATTATTAAGAAATTGTCAACTGTTTGCTGATCAACATAAATATACTAGTCGTTATAAAGTGTTAAAAAAAAGCTGAGCTACTGAGCGGCTCAGATAAGTTCCATGAACGTCGAGTTCTTCTGAGACGCCAAGGCTAGAAATTATAAATTTAAAATACACAAAATTGTAAACAAGTTTTTATAGATTTTATATGCTGTATAGTTCCTTTGGAATAGCCGAGGCTTGATAAACAAATTATTTGTACTTTTTCAATGTCGGGCTTGCTCGACTGTAGCATTCTCTCTTGTCTGATCATAAATCAGACATCGCATCTACGAGCTTACTTGTAAACTGAAAGGAAGCAGCACAATACCTTAATTATACATTTGCTCATAAGCTCTCCTATAAATGCATGACTTGACGTCCCTTTAGCGCACATCATTAATATGGCATTATGCATAATTAAAACCCAAATGTATGCACACAAGTGCACAACTCGAGACTTGCCTGCTCTGAAGGTCACATTTACTTGACCCAGAACAGCAGTTTGTGCGCTAATCGAAAGACAGCCACACTTTGGCTAATGCCTAGACCGACGGCCTTGCAATAAGTCCCAAAGGCCAGCCATCACGTGCGAGTGTATGTGTGTCTTTATGTGTGGGCGGGTCTGGGTCTGGGTCTGATGTACTGATATATATATATATATATATATATATATATATATATATATATATATATATATATATATATATATATATATATATATATATATCTATATATATATATATATATATATATATATATATATATATATGTGTGTGCGTGTGTGTGCCAAATGGCTGAAAGCAGTGCAGCTGTAAAAACTCCAACTGCAAAGCATGCAAATTTCACACCCTCGCACACACACAGCCATTCGAGCAGCTTGGCACGAAACTTTAAATTTAAACAACACGTTGTGCCAGCAAACAAAAACATTGGAGGGTGTGCATGTGTGTGTGTGTATGTGTGTTATTTTTACGCCGACTTTTTCATGTTGTTTGTTATTACTTTTATTGAATTGCAGCGGCAATGGCGCCTTGGCATATGCAGATCGCCGAAGGCCCTCATGCCGGCAGCCTATATGACGAGCAGGCAGCGCCACGTGAAAATATTATAAAGAAAGAAAATAGAAAAAGCGAAATTGTGTGTGGAAGGCGGAAACAGGAAAATGCCTCTACTACAATTTCCTTCCTAGTGCCCAGGCCACCACAAACGAGACTTCCGCCACATATGCGAGTGTGTGTGTGTGTGTGTATGTGTGTGTGGGAGCTTGTCTAACATACCCATTGCATCAGTCCAGGCAGACATACTCGTATACCTGACGCTTTCGCTCAAAGCGGGCCAAGCAGGAACTACGCGGGCACAACAAAAAAATTAAGTAAAAGATTGCATTGCAGAATATATTAAAAAAACAAAAAAAAGTATGTATATAAATATGTGTGTGGGTGGTGGGGTATGTAGGATAGCGGCATACAAAGTCGCAGCTCGCGGCATGGCAGGGAAAATATGACGGCGACCAAAAACGATGCCTGGCAACGTATGCAAGGAATTTGCGCCCAAAGTTATGCTACACTTTCTGTCGGGCCGTCCTTAAGTCCGTCCCTCGT